GGCTGGGAACCTCTTTGGGTGGATAACATCCCTAGCTGTGCTGTGCCCCGGGCTTCCTGGAATCAGCCGCTGATCAGTTTCGGCAGCAGCTGACTTGGGGATGTAAGTCAGAACTGGCGTCCAGATTCAGCCGCTGTTGAAACTGATCAGTTTCAGCAATGGCTGAATCTGGACACCAGTTCCGACTTACATACAGATTCAACTTAAGAACAAACCTACAGTCCCTATCTTGTACGTAACCTGGGGACTGCCTGTATTCCCATCAGTCCTACCTCAAGAACACTCACTATTTCTGGGTTATCTAGTATGAATGACATTTTGTCAAGCAAGATTGTTTTAGACTATCTAAATGTATTCCTTTCCTAGTTTTAGGAAGATGTTTCTCTGTGAAATCTTTTGAACTCTGTTAGCATATGTATAACATTTCTAAGTACTGATGTCTATCCCCCAATAAGCCTTACAAATTTATTGGATGTGTACAGATTTTATTATATTATTTCATAATACATGCCTCAAAAAATGTGACTGTGTACAGAGAAGTACAGTATTTCACTCAGATTATCTTAGGCTCCATTACATTAGAGAATTTATATTCTTCAGGAAATAGGAGAATTATTTGTCTGTAACTAAAATTGAATTCAGCCCAGTTTCATACTCTCTCAATGACTGGGAAGTTTAAGACAATCAATAGCCAATGGCGAAGTTAAAAATTGTATTAAAGCCACCCTTAAAAACGTTACATAATACACAAGTTTGTAAATACTCCTTTTTTTTTTAAAATATGAGAATAGTGCTTAGATTTTCCACAAACACCAAGTTTGTTTTAAAAGTCAAAGCTACATGAAGGTACATAATCAATAAAACTACTTACAGCATCCTTTTTAGTCCATGCATGTGTTCCTGTCGTGCAGCCTTCTTGAGACAAAAATGTATTAAAATCAGAAGTTTTTCTCTTACAGCAACTCCAGTACTTCATCCTTTGAAGGAAATTTGAAAAGAAAATAATTTAAAAAGCCATAAGTGAGGCTAAAATTGCATCATGGAAGTTGTGGAATATATAACTTCCAGAGACTTCCTTGAGATCTCATTTTCCACTGCAGCTCCCAGCTGCCACAGGGAAACCCTGGAACTTGTCGGTGGAGGCCCCTGGAGCATACAGGCAGATCCAGGAACTCCCCCATTTGTTCAGTTTGTGTGTGTGTGTGTGTGTGGGGTTAAGTAGAAGTAAGGAAAAGGTCACAGGCTTCCATGAATTTGTTTATTGCCCATGACCAATCCCTGTCTTTTACTCGAAATAATCACGACAATCTTAACCTTAGCCATAATACACACACAATTCAAACACTTGGAATAATTTATCATTTCCAACAGTTTTAACAGTATAAACATTTTTCCCTTTAAAAATAACCAAACAAACAAGTACTTAAAAAGAATGATTTACAGAACTCATGGAATGAAATATTAATTGCATAATACTAACCCTTCGTGGAATATAGGTACACCAGAATGGTATATACATATTTCTTCAGTGCTCTGTGGTCCTTCAAATGTCTGGTGAAATAGAATAATTTCTTAAAGTGTTGTTTTAAAAAAAATAAAAATAAGCTATTATCACAGAAAATTATCAAAACAGATTGAGAACACTGACCAATACATATTAATGATTTTGAAACAAATCAAAAATGGTCTTTCTTCCCCTATGCTGCAAAATAAGCTCAGAGATATTAAATCTTCATTCCTAAAAAGAGCCACCTCCAACACCCTTAAAAGAATCCCTTATAGTGAATCAGTGAGATATCTGGATACTATCACTATCAGTACTTAAAGGCAAGTTTGACTTCTTACAGAGAAAGCCAAAACTATTCAACTCTGTGTTCACATTTCTCACAATGAAATTAAGTGTGCATGTGTGTGTGTAATTAATTAATATATATATAAACACCCCCACACACGCACGCACCCCCACACGTAGGCGATAAGTAATATATTTGATGTACAATTAAAAGACTGCAAGGTTAAAATGAGATCATTCACAAAAGTCATCAAAAGGAAGCAGCCCAATACAGTATTAAGTGTTTAGCTTTATAAGGATCTATTATCACTTAATTGTAATATCAGTCCCTCTTAATCTAACAGGACTAATGCAATCCACTTAAGAGGGTCTCAAAAACTCATGTGCAAACACAATCTTCACCAGTGGAGCCTCAATGACAAAAGAACAAAATCCATCAGACCTGCTGGGTGCTAAAGATTTTTAGTGTACATCCCTCCTATTCAGTAGAAGGCTATCATGGGAGAAAGTGGGAGTATGTCTACACTTCAATTAAAGACTCCTGTGTGTGGCCCACACCAGCTGAATCTGATTTACAGGACTCAGGCTAAACGGCTGTTTAATTGCTGTGTAGACATTCTCTCTTGAGGTGCATCTTGACCTTTGGGGCCTTCCCACCTCACAGAATCCTAGAGGTGGGTTCCAGCCCAAGCCCAGCAATTTAACAGCCCCTAAGCCTGAGCCCAAGTCAGCTGGCAAAGGCTAGCTGAAGATTTTTAACTGCAGTGAATGTGTTCTGAGATATTGTTGGCGATAGTGGAAGAATGGTCTCATGGTTGAAAATGTAAGATGTGGGTGCTCCCTTTTTCAGTGTTACTCAGTAAGTAGCACAGATTGTTTGATGATTAGTACATACTTCAGACTGCCGTAATACACCACTAATTGCCAGAAGCAATTTGAAGTATTTAACAATAAAGTCCTTCATAGTTTGGTACCATCTCATTCCACCTAATTTTTTAACTACTGACATATCAGAGATGCTCAAACTTTTTTTTTTATTTGCGCACCAGAAACCTCAGGAATGGGCCTCAATATAAGGTTACTAACTCATTGGTCCAAAAAACCCTACATGTTGACCTTTTGAATTCACTGAAATGTGTAACTATTTATTCAGACTTGTTGACCTACAAACTTGGAATTACATGCGTTTTAAAATAGCGACTTGTTCATATTCTTAGAGTTCTATAGGTGCAATATAAACAGAAGGAATAAAACAGCTATTTACCTTTGAACAGCCTCCATTTTTACATGAGGTCCCAATTTTGATCTCATCATTATCCTCTTCTGTAAAATGAAGCCATACAGATGTTTTTCATAAATATCAAATGTTTAGTTTAAAGTTAAGAGTCTAGAGTCTAACAGTTGTTTTAAACTCTTCCATATGTTTATAGGAGGGAAGTGTACAAGGAGCATCCCTCATTTTTTTGCACTCTACACAAAAGCCTGTCAAATGCAGAGAAACTACTTCCTCTATGTGCCCTAATGTGAGCAGAGATAACACAGGACCATGATTCCAATACACTTCAGCCTCAAGCACACTGAGCTGGTATGCTGAGGGAAATGTGCACCATATAAGGGAGCACAGCAGAGGGTGCACTCGCCTTGCATGCTGGAAAGTTCATGCAGTTCTGAAAAAGTTACTGGGAGCTGCTGATGCTCAGCATTTTTAGGAGGAAAAAAATGGTCATATGCCTTAATATGAACTCCTTTTTCTGAAAATTAATTATGTTGTACAGCATGATACCACATTAGAAATATAACTACTTGATACAGGACGATCCGGGAATTTAAAACTCTCCAGTATATAAATGAATACTTTTTGCTGATGTAAAGAAGAAAGTTCTCTATTCTATTATATAATGCATAAGTCCAATTTGGAGTGATCAATTAACTTGTTTTTATATATTCAATGATTTAATTGCGATAGATTGAGAACTAGAACTTCGATGAATATATGTTTTTTTAAAAGCCAAGGCCATTTCCCTTGGAAAGAGGACTTTAGTTCTGTAGTAAACAGTATGGGACATCAAAGAGATCATAGAATCATAGAATACTAGGACTAGAAGGGACCTCGAGAGGTCATCGAGTCCAGTCTCCTGCCCTCATGGCAGGACCAAATACTGTCTAGATCATCCCTGATAGACATTTATCTAACCTACTCTTAAATATCTCCACAGATGGAGATTCCACAACCTCCCTGGGCAATTTTTTCCAGTGTTTGACCAACCTGACAGCTAGGAACTTTTTCCTAATGTCCAACCTAAACCTCCTTTGCTGCAGTTTAAGCCCATTGCTTCTTGTTCTATCCTCAGAGGCCAAGATGAACACATTTTCTCCCTCCTCCTTATGACACTATTTTAGATATCTGAAAACTGCCATCATGTGTCCCCCCCCACCCTCCCGATCTTCTCTTTTCTAAACTAAACAACACACTTCTATTCCCTACAACAAAGAAAAGACAATAAATTTTCTAACCTGCTCCATACCACTGGTTGCAACAGCAACTACCTCAACCCACCAGATAATATTGTTAACCTCTCCAGCTACAAACTCAATCCAGCAGAAGAGTCTGTCTTGTCCCGGGGTCTCTCTTTCTGCCCCACGTCCCCCACAAACTGGATACAATTTTGTGGTGACCTTGAGGCTTTTTTTCGCCGCCTCCGTCTCCGAGAATATTTCCAAACCACCACTGAACATCAATCTGACCTACCAGATCCCCCCTACCAACACCAAAGGAAAAATAATTCTATATGGACTCCCCCTGACGGTCGGAATTACAATCTGGATTTCTATATACACAGCTTCCGCAACAACGCACAGACTGACATTATTCGCAAACGACAACAAGCGACACACAATCTTAGCCGCGCTGAACACCATGCCATCCAGAGTCTCAAAAACAACCTGGACATTGTAATCAAACCAGCTGACAAAGGGGGTGCTGTGGTCATTATGAATAAGGCCGACTATAACCAGGAGGCAACCAGACAACTCTCGAACACCACATTTTACAAACCTCTCCCCTCTGATCCCACCTTGGACTACCAAAAGAAACTACACTGTCTCCTTAAAAGCCTCCCCACAGCTACTCGGGAACAAATCCTCACAGAATCACCTTCTGACCCCCGACCAGGATTGTTCTATCTACTTCCCAAGATCCATAAACCTGGGCACCCCGGACGTCCCATCATCTCTGGTATTGGCACGCTCACTACTGGTCTATCCAGCTATGTAGACACTCTTCTCAAACCCTTCGTAACCAATACCCCCAGCTATCTCCGAGACACTACTGACTTCCTAAGGAAACTACAAAACATCGATAACCTCCCCAATAATACCATCCTTGCCACCATGGATGTAGAAGCTCTATATACCAACATCCCACATGAAGACGGATTACAAGCAATTAGAAACACTATCCCAGAGGACACTACTGCCAACCTGATAGCAGACCTATGTAACTTTGTTCTCACCCACAATTATTTCCAGTTTGAGAACAACTTATACCTCCAGATCAGCGGCACAGCCATGGGTACACGCATGGCCCCACAGTATGCTAACATCTTTATGGCTGACCTAGAACAACGTTTCCTCAACTCCCGTCCCCTTTCACCCCTCCTCTACCTACGGTACATCGATGACATCTTTATGATCTGGACACATGGCCAAGAAACACTGGAGATATTCCACAGAGATTTCAACAACCTACACCCCACCATCAACCTCAGCCTGGACCATTCTACACGAGAGATCCACTTCCTGGACACCACCGTACAAATCAACAATGGAAAATTAGACACCACTCTCTACAGAAAACCCACTGACTCATACAGTTACCTACATGCATCCAGCTCCCATCCAGAACACACCACACGATCCATCGTCTATAGCCAAGCCCTTCGATACAACCGCATCTGCTCTAATCCCACTGACAGAGACCAGAAGCTTCAGGATCTCTACCAAGCATTTATAAATCTCAACTACCCACCCGGAGAAATAAAAAAGCAAATTGAAAGAGCCAGACGAATACCTAGAAACCATCTACTTCAAGACAGACCCAAGAAAACCAACAATAGAACACCACTTGTCATCACCTACAACCCCCAACTTAAACCTTTCCAACACATTATCAATAAACTACAGCCTATACTGGAACAGGATACCATACTCCAAGAGGCTCTGGGAGACAGACCCATAGTCTCCTATAGACAACCACCTAACCTCAAGATGATTCTTACCAACAACCACAGCTTTCTATCCATCTTACAGTCCATTTATCCAATCCATATTCCCTTAGCTTGCTGGCAAGAATATTGTGGGTGACCATATCAAAAGCTTTGCTAAAGCTGGCACTGGGGGCTTTGGGAGGACCAGAAACAACCTGTTTGCATATTCATCATTAACGAATATGTAAATGAATGTTACCAGTCCTCCAAAAGCTCGTGAATGGATTTACTGGTCCCCGTGTCAAAGAGTTTAGGAACTCCTGGCTTAAGGAAATGTCTCTCTCCATGTGTCAGTTTCAATTTAATTGCTAGTTTCCTTCTGTGGAAGGAAATTTTTACTAGAATATCTGGTTCTTGAATATTTTTGCATAGTTATTAATTCTCAAACACTGAAATGTTTGAGACATTCTATCATTTATCTAAAGATGTGGCAACAAGCGTGTCTTAGGTATCTCAATTTGTGTCATTACAGGTTCTTACCTTTTTTTTCTTCTTCATTCTCTGATGATAGTTTCAGTTTATCTAGTGCTTGTTTCAGAGAAGCTGATACTTTCAGCTGTAAACTGGTCATTGGCTCATCTGGGCTAAAATATTTAAATACATGAATGTTATCTTGGTCAAAATAAATGATATAATATGACAAAGGATACCTCTCAGGCCTCTTCTGCCACTATAAAATACCTTACCTGCAAAATAATTTCAAGGAAGAGATTGAAGTTTCATTATGAAATTGTACAACTGGCTGGGGATTAATTCAAGCCAGACCAAAAATTGACAAAGGAGAGCCTGCCAGTCGTCCAGCCCATGATCATTGCCACCAGTGCCTCTTGCCACCTCTCCTCAGGCTGCAGGTAAGCGTTCGTATGTGGGGTTTTTTGTAAATTGGATGTTTGTAACTCAGGTGAGCTTGTAATTTAAATACTGTCAATACCAGACTTGAAAAAAGAATACACTTGACTTCTATCTTAAGGTTTAAGGCAGCTGTTCATCACCATAGTATCTTCAACATAAAATCAACAGTAAGCAAAAAAAAAAAAAAAAAAAAAAATCGAAGTTAATCATTAGAAACACATTTGATTCAGCATTCTGTACCTTGGTCTATTAATCGTTTCCACTGGTTTTGGTGCTTGAATTATATGCTCCTGAAATTTAGGTTTCAGATCAGCTAACTCCTTCCGCTCAGAGGTAGTTTTCACTTCAGGTTTCACAGGCTCTGGGGGTTTCTCACTATTATGGAGACCCTTTGTACAGCCCTATTGTAGAGAACAAACAAAAACATACATGAAAAAAACAAAACACTTCATATATGAAGTCCAAAAACAAACCACATATTATCCAAGTTTAATGAATTAATGCAATTTGATTTCTTCACCTTTCCCTTTCTCCCTTTGCTGAGTTCTAGTGACACATGCTGTAAGGTTGAAAAATTATTCAAATATATAAACAAACTGTCTGGAACACTTAAATTAAGTGTTCAGTGCTTGTTATGAGGGGTTTTTAAGTTTGAGGAAGACCTCTTTAATTATTTATGATTTAGACGAATGAGTGTAAAAACACCATCTTCTTCCATGAGTCTCATATTAACAATATAACAAACACATTTTGAAAAAGCCAATTAATAAAATGCTACGTAGTCCACAAGGAGTGTCTTTACGATGTTTGATTCAAAATGGTTTTGGTTTAACAAGACATATTTAAAATATGCTTAATACATGGCAGTAGTATAACTTAATATCTAATTATCAGGGATCAACAAATAATACAATCTACTTGCCCATGGCGAGTAGATTGTAACCCAGAGGAGCCGGGTTCGGGCGATTTGCACATGTGCAGATCGCCAGACAACACAGCTGGCGAGCAGGGCTCACCGCAGTTTGGCGAGCCCTGTTAATTATGATTTTTTGTGCAAGATTTTTAAAGCATAATAGACGATATACAGAATTGTATTAATTAAAAAAAAAAAACATACCGCAATGCTCAAGAAGTCAGAAAAGTCTGTTGTCCTTCTCTTACAGCATGACCAGCCCTATAAAATTTGGAAAAGAATAATGAGACAGATGCAAACACTCTGTTCAATAAAGTTCATGAGAAACAAAAGCTTAATGAAAATTCTTTCGAGCATATGCTTCTTTATGGTCTTAACACTCTCCTCTCTCTGGATGTTGCTGATCTCTGTATTTTGAAAAATATAAAAACATCTACAGCTGCCATCACTACTGCACATTTGCTGACTTCATCATAAAGCACCTTCATAGCTTGCCGAAACAATACTCTCGTGCTATTCGAGGTGCTGATTCAATATGAAAAAAGGCAAACTAACACAGCTGATAAAATAATGTAACTAAAATAGATATCTCTGAAGTGGAGTTAATCTGCTAATCCTATGGACACAGTCCTTATTTTCAAGAGCAATATAGCACAGAATTTTTTTTAATCTTTGGAAAGTCACAGACTTATTTGAGATCAGCCTCCTTCATTTTCCCTTGTCCGGTGTCGTTTGCTTTAGACAGTAATTGCTTAAATAAGGTCAACTCAAACCCAATATTTATTCTATCAGATGATATAGATGTTTCTCTAGCATCAGGACTCTTACCTCACCACACAAAACAATTTACCTGGAAACCTCAAAGAGCCAGACTTTAATTTGGTATTACAAAAGACATTGACAAACAATGTATTTCTGCAGCAAACTAAAAGATATGATGAGACATTCTCTCTTTAGACTACTGCAACATAATGCTTCTTGTTTCCTCTAAATGTTCATTCTTTACATAGCCAATATATTGTAAACAAGATCATTTATAATTTAGCTTATGTAGGACACATATTAGAAGGAAAATTACACCCAAACGGGCTCACTATAACTTTCAAAGAGACCAGGAAATGAGGGGACAAAAAAATTAAGATGGAATGTGTTGTTCTGTAATAAAAGCACATTTAATTTCTTAAAGATAATTTTAACATTATCTTATACACAGGTTAAAGAAGGAGTATCTATACATTTGGGTATAAAGCTTAAATTATCCTGAAGTACAAAGTTGGGTTTAAAGTCATAAAAATATATATAATATGTAATCTGCAATACCCCAAATTAAAGCTAAGAAATTTAATAATACATTAAAAATATTAGCATTCAAATACTTGGGTACATCACCTGTAAAAAGAAACACTAAGAGTAGTTTGTGAAAAGCAAATGCAGCAATGAGAGTGTAGATTTTCCCCTCAGTAATTGAGAATTTAGGACAAGTTGTCCCTTAGTAAATACTCTGAATATTATTTCTGTCTGATATTTGGGTGTTCAGTTTCAGACAACCAATTTTTCAAGAGCTATTCGTAGCCAACTAAGAAGCTGTGCTGCTCATTCCTATCATTATCAATAAGTAGTTCTCCCTTATCAATCATGGCCGTTTCTGATGGTGTGTCAGCACAAGACTGGGAAGAAGGAAAGTTTTGAGGAAATGCCACTCGTCCTAGGAAGAGAAGCCAGAAGGTGGACTAACAAATCCACTTACTTCTGATCTCTACACTTACATCAAGCTGATGCCAGGCAGTTTCTTTTCAAGTCCCCTCACATACTGAATAATCACTCACAAATTCATGTACTTTGCATGTTTGAGATACTCATCATATGTAATATTCCTTATTTTTTGCAGTCAATATTTTAAAGTTACTATTTTGCCACTTCCAAACTTCACATTAGCCTCATTTAGAGTCAGATAGGAATAATTCCTGAAGACTTTGATCTGTACATATGCCAAGAATTTTCAGATTTTTCCACACCATATCTCCATGGTAACTACAGCAATAGCTTACCTGGTCAAACTGAAGTATTTAATATATTTTCTCTGTCTTAATTAAACTTAGTATAGAAAATTGAGAATCAACACCACGGGATCAGCCTGGTCCCTGAATCAGAGGGGGAGCCATGTTAGTGTGAATCTGCAAAAGCGGCGAGGAGTCCCGTGGCACCTTATAGACTAACCGAAGTGTTGCAGTATAAGCTTTTGTGGGCAAAGACCCATGCATCTGACGAAGTGGGTCTTTGCCCACGAAAGCTTATGCTCCAACGCTTCGGTTAGTCTATAAGGTGCCACAGGACTCCTCGCTGCTGGTCCCTGAAGGTCATCAACAAATACTTAATAGACCATCAATGATCCAGATAGCATAGTTTAAGAGCTGCTGGTGTAAGAATACTATGAAAAAAGTCTAACCTTTCCAAAGTATATTAGTCAATTCTTGAAACTGAGTTTCCTTTAAAAATGCAAAAAGACAACAAAGATTGTGTACTGAAATTCTAAAATGTCTATAACTGAAAACAGTTCTACACTCAATGCTTTTTATATGGCTATGGCAAGGCACTATATTTTCCACAAAGCGATAGAGGATATGTAATGCTTAAAACAACATGCTCGGTTTGAGATTACCAATAGAAAAATAATCATTGCTGCAGTAAGTGGTCATATAACATACCTGATACTTATTGCTTGAGTCTAGCCAATATTCATTCAGTTTCTTTCAACTTTACATAAATGCCATTTCCAGGAGTCATTTGGTTGCATTTCAGAGAGAAGACATTTGCTACATCATTAACAAAGGTGGACCACTACTGAATGATTTAAAGAACCTTTCACTAGCTATATCCTGGCATACTCACCTTTAGAGCATCATGAAAAACTGGTACACCTGGATGATATGTGCATGAATCTGAAAGCAAAGAAAAATGCTGTACTAAATGAGAATGTAATTAAATGAACCAAAAAACCCTACCTTGCAACTATTAATCTAAACACAATTACAGTCACAACAGCACACATGTAAATCTCACATTAAACATAAGATTGACTTTCCACCCTTTTCCCATCACTCTTTTAAATCAAAGAAAACTCCACAGGAGAGCACATTCAGACTTGACAGAATAAGCATTCAGAGAATATATATGAAGCAGCATAGACCCTATTTTGACTAAGTTCTTTAAAGCACAGCCTATTTTTTCTCCATATACACAACTGAGTGCATATAAGCCCATAAATAAAATTACCCTTATTAAATTTATCACGGGATCTTTTGGGAGGCCATGATCAGCACTCACATATAGCTAACCTTAACTGGTCTCCTTTCACTGGATACAAGTGTCACCTGGTCCGTTTGAAGGACAATCTGATAGCCAACTCAATTTTGCAGCACTCCACTCAATTGTTTGCAGTTTGAGAGATGTGTTCAAGCCTCCTGGCCAAAGGCACCAAAGGTTCCAAACTGTCTTAAACTTTATCTGGTGTTCATAAACTTGATTACAGGATTGCAAAGCATACCTTAGACCCAGAGACTCAAACTCCATATGTTTTGCTCCACAAAGAGAAAGTTCAGAAGTGGCTTGATCACAATCAATAAGATAGAGAAGAAATGTAGAGGACTTGTTAATAGGAATGTTAAAAATTGTGTAATAGAGTAACCGTGTAACTACTAAAAATCTTAGTGGTTACATGTGTTGCGAGCTTAGCTTTATACTACAGAGTAAGGATGTTGAAATGCATTTAATCAGCTAATGGGGAAACTGCAGAGCCGCAGCAGTGTTCGTTCCCAACCCCAGGAGCTAACTACGCTGCGGCTCTGCCTTTTAAATACTGTACGTTAAGAGCCGCCGGATTTTGATTGTAACTTCCCTGCCCTTTATAATGCAGAGCAGCAGAAGGGGGAGTTATGCTGAGGAATGAGACCCCCACAGGACAAGGGAGTGCCTCAGCAACTTTGCACGCCGACTTCCCTGTTCTTTATAATGCACAGCAGCAGCAGGGAAGGTTATGCTGGGACCTAGACTGTCTGCTGGAACTGCCTACTCTTCTCAACTAATTGAGTAGCCAATAAAAAAAATTCTATTGGCTACTCGATTACGAATGTAACCCCATTTTAACATACCTACTAAGTTTATCAATTTACTCCAAAACGTCCTCTAATGACAACTTAATCTCGGACAATTCCTCAGATTTGTCACCTAAAAAGAATGGCTCAGGTCTGAGAATCTCCCCAACATCTTCAGCCGTGAAGACCGAAGCAAATAATTCATTAGTTTCTCCGCAGTGACCTTATTGGCTTTCAGTGCTCCTTTAGCATCTCGATCAGGCTTTCAGTGCTCCCTTAGCATCTCGATCGTCTAGTGGCCCCACTGGTTGTTTAGCAAGCTTCCTGCTTCTGATGTACTTACACACTTTGATATTACTTCTTGAGTTTTTGGCCATCTGATCTTCAAACACCTTTTTGGCTTTTCTTATTATATTTTTACACTTAATTTGACAGAGTTTATGCTTCTTTCTATTTTCCTCACTAGGATTTAACTTACACTTTTAAAATGATGCCTTTTTATCTCTCCTTGTTTCTTTTCCTTGGTTGTTAAGCCATGGTGGCAAATTTTTGGTTCTCTTCCTTTGTTTTTTAATTTGGGGTATACTTTTAAGTTGGGCCTCTATTAACATGTCTTTGAAAAGTTTCCATGCAGCTTACTTTTGGCACTATACCTTTTAATTTCTGTTTAACCTCACTTTTGTGTAGTTCCCCCTTTTTTAAATTAAATGCCATTAGGGGGCAGCAAGCAGGGCATCTGCGTGGGTTCCCATGTCAGAAGGGCCCCCCATGGATCTAAGTTACAGGCTTCAGCCTCAAGACTGTGGCTCACACTTCAGACAAGGCTCACAGGTGAAACACACACTCAAGTGTACTTACACGAGTGTTATAATATTTATATTTCAATTGATTTATTTATATGGCAAAATGAGAAAGTGTGCAATTTTTCATCAATTTTTCTGACACTTTTGTATTTTTATATCAAATTTGGTATGTAAGTATTTTTTTAAATGAAGTGAAACTTGGGGTATGCAAGACAAATCACACTCTTGAAAAGGCTGCAGTAGTCTGGAAGGAACCACTGTCCTTCAGTACTGCTGGCAGGATGCTAGCAGCCCCTTTACTCTTCACTAGTATTTTGTAATAAAGGTCATGGATTCCATCACTTCAAAAGACCTTCAAATTCAGATATGTGCTGAGTGCTACAACTTGTTTCAGATGCTGAAGAGAAAACCATTTGATCTGAGGAAGTGGCCTGACACGTGAAAGCTCATCACCTAATAAACCATCTTGTTAGTCTTTAAAGTGCTGCATAGTTGTGTCTTGTTATAGCACACGATGTTCTACAGTGGCGCAGGTGAATTGGTGCAGCTGTACCAATGTAGTGCTGTCATGTACACTTGTCTTTACATAATGGCAGAGAAAATATATTTGTAAAATCAGCCACAGGTGGCTAGACACCCCCTTCCCCCACCTCAGCAGTCAATCTCTCCCTTCCACTCATGCCATTTTTAGTAAGTCACAGATCATAGCTTCAATGACATTTTGTTTGTTGTCTGTGACTCTCCTTGACATTTCCTAAAAATAACTGAGACAAAACCGTAACCATCATAGCATAAAGCATCAGTTTCCCAGCTGCACAAACTTCTGTATCAGAGGCAGCAAGGGCGGGGGGGGGGAAGAGATGGGAGCTGGCGTCCATGAGCACCAGATCCCGTGGAGTCGCCTGCCCCTCCAATCCCAAGCTGCTGCCTGTGATACAGAGGCAGCAGTGTGGAGGGCTAAGAGGACAGGCAGGAGCCAGTACATGCAGGAAGCCTGCTTTCAAGCAGGCTGCCCACATGCATTGTCTCCTGTGCAGCTGCTTGCCCCCCCCCCCATACTGCTGCCTCTCTATTGGAAGCACCAGCATAGACTGGGGGAGGGAGAGGGGGGAGCCGATACATGTTGTTAACCAGCTTTTAACACATGCTCTTGGCACATGCTGGCTCTGCAGAGCTGCATGGCTCCCTCTCCTTGCTGCCTCCCATAAGGAATCCCGACCCTGGGATGCCGATGTAGTCCATGGCAAGCCCATGCTGTTGTGGACAGAGGCTGCTCTGTGGGATCCTGGTGCAGTCTCTGTCTGCAGGGAGCCCGGGCCCCCCATGAAGAGGGGCTACTGCCACCCTTGTATCCGAGGTAGCAGCACGGGGCCGCAGGCAGCCTCCTGTCACAGACTGGCTCCCACATGGCATCCCATGCTGCTGCCTCTGATACAAAGGCAGCAGCGCAGGGTGGCAGGCAGCTCCCCAGGAAGGGGGCCAGAAGTATACTGGCTGCCAGCCCCATCTCCAGGAACTATCGAATCGTCGTGATAATTTACCACTTATTACCTCTGGGTAGATCTCTGTAATTATTCACTGTTATTTTAGCCATGTGGTCTCATTATATGAGAGAAACAAGATGGGTGAGCTGCCTTACGATCATAGGACTGGAAGGGACCTCAAGAGGTCATCTAGTCCAGTCCCTTTCACTCATGGCAGGACTAAGTACTGTCTGCACCAGGGCTACTCAACTTTAGAAGACTCAGGGGCCACAATGATACTCACATGTGCCAAGGGCCCCAACTTAAGTGTGGTTGCCTATACATGCAAATATATATGCAAATAGATTCTTTCACACTGACGGGTATGAATACAAAGATTAAGGCAAGACTACACAACATGCAGGCCCCATTTAAGTCAGTTCTGTTGATATTAGTAAAATGTAATATTTACCTGATTTCCACCCATATGACAGCACTTTTAAAGACCAATTGCAGTCCAGGAATTTAACTACTAACCTTCCTTTAAGGAACGTATCTTTGTTTTTCTTAAATTGCTGTCAGGTGGATACAAGTCTTTGAACTCAGCATGACAAGATTCATGGTGCCGTTGCAGATTTGTTTTCTTTAAAAGAAGACACATTGGTTTTCCATTTATCTCTACAAACGTGAATTCCCTCTCCCAAACAGAGTTGAAAACCCAGAGTTCATCCAATAAGCCTCTCTTCTTTGTTGCTATTTTTAATGCTTCTTATTAAAAAGAAAATTGTATACTAGTGTTTTGGATGTTTAGCTTGAAGCTTCAGGTTGTGCATTTCTTGGAGTGATTTTACTGTAAAAAGAAAAGTTTCCAAGCCAGAGAACTCCAACCTGCAGCATGCGGGGAGCTGAGCAAGTCAGGCCGGACATTAGAGGCAAAAAAGGGCAGGTACCTGGGAGCTCCATCCTGGATTCCAAACAGGGCTGACATCCCCATACGGGAGTCCGTCGCTCCGTGCAGGACAGAGGCAGGGCTGCCCGGCCGTAGCGCCAGACCCAATGCGGCCAGTTTGAGCCAGCCACCTCTCATGCTCTGCCCACAAGGCTAAGCAGTCAGCACTTCCCACAACGCCCCAATGCTCCTGGCATCTCTTTCCTGGAGGCTAGAAATGCCAACACCCTGTACCTGTCTTTTCTAGCCAGCCTGTCTGCTTGCACCTCTCAATGCTCCCCCTGCCTTGGAGTTGCCTCGCCGTTGTGGAGCGTGTTCCCAGTGGAAGCCATGTTCAAAAGATCCCACCCATGGGCACCATATTGAGCCCTGTGTAAACCCAAACTGCACCGTGGGCCACAAACAAGCGGGCTGCATGTTGAGTAACCCTGATCTACACCATGCAAGACAGGTGTTTGTCTAACTACTTTAAAAATCTCTACTGATGGAGATTCCACAACCTCTCTAGGCCATTTAATCCAGTGCACATAGTAGCAGTTATCAAGTCTTTTCCTACTTAGGGATGTTAGATATCATGTAATTGAATATTCATGTAACCACATGGAATCTTAGCAGTTACATGAGTATTTGATAGTCCCTGGGGTAGGGCCAGCTGTCAGTGTGCTCCTGGCCCCACTCCTGGGGAGCACCCTGCCACCCTATGCGGCTGTCTCTATATCAGAGGGAGCAGTATGGGGTGGCAGGCAGGAGCTGGCCCATCAGGAGAGACCATTTAAAAGCCAGCTTCCTGCACAGATTGTCTGCCTGCCACCCCACGCTGTTGCCTCTGATACAGAGGCAGCAGCCCCTGTCCACAGGAGTCTGAGCTCCCCGCAAACAAAATGCTGGTCCACTGCAACAGCCCATGTCTGTTGGAAGCATGGACCCCCCACGGACAGGGGCTACTGCTGTGGACCAGGCTTGCCACAGACAGAGGTTGCTCCGTGGGGAGCTC